CCAGAAAAAAAACAAAAGCCTCCTATAACAGTGCAGGCTCTTATAACTCATAGTCTTGCTGGTGTTCAGCTGGCTACTAAGGAGATGCCTCACTTATTCTAAGGTCTTCTTCCAGTAGAAGTAAACATCTGGCTCCTTCAACCTCACAGACTTTAATCTTGATGAGGAGATAAAGCAGACCCTTTGGTCTTTATCTCTATGACTGGACATTCAGAGTCCTACTCTACCTGAAGATCAGAAAGTAGACAGCAGGTACAGTCCTAAAAAGAAATGATTTGATTTTAATAGAAAGGCAAATACAATGGAAGATAATATATTACAATGGCTCAGCACAGTATAAGCTCCTTGACAAAGAAACAGAGTCTGCCCATCTGTACTACCCATAATCTTCACCCCCAATAGTGCCTTCCACAAACTTTGGAGTAGAATGGACAAATGCGGGAATGGAGTACTTTGGGTGAAAATCAGAAAAGTCTGATTCTATCCAGCAGGGGGCACAGCAGCTTGGGACAGGAGTAAGGATGTTAACCCAGGCTGCCCCAAATCCTGGCAGCTTCTGCTTCCAGAGATCATTTTCAAAAAAAGGGCATGGTTATGGCTATATTTTACCCTTAAAATACTCATCAAATGCTAGTTGTCTTCCTAAATAATGAAAAGAGATCCAAAATTTCCTAAAGAGTAAACCCATATCATCTGTCCAGAAACCCCAAGGCCTCTCTATTCTTCAACTACGGCACTTGAGGAACTCATCTTGGTTCCGGGTATCCTGCTGAGCTTTGATTTCTACTACTGAATCTCTGCATCTTGCATTCTCCCAATAAGGAGCTTCCTGAGAATCTGTGAGGTACTATAAAATGATCTAAAAATTACAACCTTTTGTATTTAAACCTTTCAAGATAATAAACCATGAAGGCAAGAGAACTCCACACAAAGCCTCTGTACTTGTTTCTTTTTTCCACCTGGCTGATGTACAGGGTGGTCTATTATGAATGGGTCTCCTCAGGGGACATACCATGGCAAAACCCATAGAAACTGGAAAACTAAAATAATCAGTATCTGTAAGGATAACAATGTCCAGTGTAGATCTGCATTAGCTATCTTTTATATTAGATCAACAGAGTAACAGGGCCATTCTATTAATTTCCCAGCCTCCTACAGAGAGGCAGTTTTGTAACACATACAACATTGTAGAAAAATATCACAACAGTGCATGTTCTAGCATTTGGCCACCATAAATGAACCAATACCACGCCGCATGTCATTTCATCCAATGAGTAAAATATAACCTTACTACATTAATAACTCAGTTCTCTGCAGCCTCTTTGAATCAGAGGCAAAATAAAAGAACTGATAACTAAACATGATAGTTTTTTTAGAACCTGAAGCCAGTTTACCAAGCAGGAAGCATGAGAATAAGGAAATGCCTTCTTCTCATGTCAAGTGGGGGGGTTGGAGAGTTGGGGGGGTAGGAGGCAACAGGATTAAAATTGTGATCTGAGTCTATGGATATCTAATTTGAAGAGAAGGAGAAGAAAACACCTAACTTTAGTAGGTAAAGTAAGTTAACAACCCCCATCATAATAAATCCTAGGAAAGACTATGATAATAATGATAGTAGGTATGATAGCTACCATTTATTAAGCATCTGCCAGTTGTCAAGCACTATGCTAGGTACTATATTAAATGATCTCATGGAATCTTCAACAATCTTATGAGGTCAAGACTGCCATTTAACAGATGAAGAGGCCCAGAGAAGTAACGTAACTTACTTAAAATACATAACTAATAGGTGACAGAGCCAGCATTAAACCTCAAGGCTGTAATACTCCAAAATTCAAGCTCTTTCCACTGCATGATGCAGTCTCTCAAGAAAAGTATGACATAAGGATAAAACAGTATGTTAAAAATTAATCTCACCCACCTGTTTGATTCCTCTGGTATTCACTGGCTCAAGCTGGGAGGATGGAGGGACAGGGAGGAGACTTAAAACACACACAAAAAACAGTGGACATTTGAGGAAAGAGTTGGTGGGAACAGAGCCAGGAAAGAGAGCTACACTGAGGCCTCCCTTCTTCCTTCTGCCAGGGCAGAAATGGCCCACATCCACACACCAGGAAAACATCTGTCAACTCACGGCCTTCATCCCCAGGCTGCAGACACCCTTGGTTAATTTGAAAATGCAGAATTCTTGAGAAAATTTCCAACATAAAAACCTGAACAGAAACTAGTTCCAAGCCATGAATAAGCAACTGACAAGCTTACCTTCACTGTTCTGTGTCAGCCACCATTATTCAATTTTCAGTTCCTCTCACTCTTCTTTTCCCCTGTAACTTGCATTTTCCTACCTGCCTTCTCGCCCATACCCTTTCCTCTCCCAAGCTCCTGAGGACAGCACCATACCCTGCTCCCTAGTGTCCTCCAGGAGCACACTAACCTCTCCACATCTGGAGACTTAAAGTTTAGTTTTCCTACCCGCTAACTTTAGAGCTTCTCACACAAAATCCAGTTTCTACAGGAAAAATCCCAAACCCTCTTTCCTTCGCCCACTCTCAGCTCCTCTGCCCACACCTCTGAAACCTTATGGCCTAATCCAGTGGTTCTCAACCTTCCTAATGCCGCGACCCTTTAATACAGTTCCTCATGTTGTGGTGACCCCCAATTTCATTGTTACAAATTGAACATAATTAAAGCATAGTGATTAATTACAAAAACTATATGTAACTATATAGTAACATAAATAGTTACAAAAACAATATGTAACTATATATGTGTTTTCCGATGGTTTTAGGCGACCCCTGTGAAAGGGTCGTTCGACCCCCAGGTTGAGAACCGCTGTAAAAACCTAATCCTTCCCTGGCCCTTCTGAAATTGGGCTCCGGGTCCCCAGACCCAATCCCACCACCACCACCAGCCTCCCTCTTACTCCCCACGTCGTTCCACCCACTCTCACCCCCAGGCACCATCTATTCCGTCCATTACCACCTATCCTTCCCTTCCTCCCCTCTCTGGGATTCCCTCTCCTAGGATCCAAACCTCTCCATCTCTTTCCTTGTCCTGTCTTCAACCTTCAAAATCCCCTTCCTTCAGGCCTCACGAGGCTCAACTTCACAACCCACAGCCCCAACTTCTTTCTTCCCTACCATCAAGACCCCACCCTTTCTCCTGCTTCAACTAGATCCTTTCCTCCTCGCACTCCTCAAAGCCCCTTTCCCAGCACTGCAACTCCCCATTTCTCTAAATTCCCACGCATGCCCCTCCCCGAATCCACCCCCAAAAAATCCGGTTCCCTTCTCCCACCCCGCCCCGAACCCCGATTCTCACACGCCCCCATACCCAACCGCAGCACCACTACCTCACCCTTAAACCCATCTTCCACACCTATCCTCATCCATCTTCACACCTTTCACTTTTTTTCTCGTCGGTGGCAGCTCCCTCCTCCCGCGGCGTGGCAGAGCGAGGAAGCGGCTCGGCTCCCCGGGCACAAAGCTCCGGAGGGTGGGACAGAGAAAAGATGGGAGGAGGGAAGGGGCTGGGGGCGACCTAGCGCCGTGGGACCGCGGGGCTGACAGGGG